TGCTTCATTTGTGGAATAAAATTGAGCTTACTGTCAAAGAAAAGTCCTAATAACTTCATCTCATCCATGACAACAATTTGTATACTTTTCCAGGTGTAGCTCAAGAACAGGATGCACTCAATGCTAGCAGCAGAAATGCATAAAATAGTTTTAGATGACAAAAATTTGAAACTATCTGCAGTGGTCTACCAACAAAATTTACTAAGAGCTGTTTGGAATTGCTGATCAATCTATCTCTTATTCGATAACCAAAAGGTAATCTGAAAGTCATCAACATAGAAACTCTTTGCAGCTGCAAAGAAAGCTATTTAGTAATGGCACTGATTTTAATACTAAAAAAGTCTGAAATTTAAGACAGCCCTGAGATACTGTGCAAAGGATCAGGTTAGAGTTCATTCCACACAAATATGGAATGAACTCTCTGCTGAACAAGTATAGATAAAAATGGGTAAATGATCATACAACCTATACAAATGGAGGCCCTGTTATTTGCCAAATCAAGTTAAAATGAGCCACAAAAATATTGAGATAGACAGAAGAGAGAGATGATACAGCATCTTAATATGGATGTAATCTAGTCCAACTCATGCATTGTCAGACATAGGAAAAGCCAGTTTAAGCCACAAAAGAGTAAAAGGTTAATTACAGTTGTAAAGACAGTCTGGTTGAAAGAAAGGTAGAATCCCTGGGGCCCATGTCTGGATGTCTAAGAAGGCAGAGGAACTAATGGAGGTGCTTGAATGACAAGAAAAGCACATTTTCTGACTGTTGACAATATTCTGTGAGAAAGCTACTTCTTGGCCATTGGGTTGCAAAATTGAAATGGTATGGAACTGACATTTTCCCTTTATCTTTCAAATTTTGTCCCCAACTACCCATGAAACCGGTGGTGGAAATAGGTATACGTTCCTGTACTGAAGGAAGAATGGGCAAACATTTTACAGATCAATTTCTCCCATCCATATGTACACCACTCAAAAGTGAATTATGTCCATTGAAGTTTACCTAGATGACTTGAAGGGATTCAACAACTGCTTGAGAAGGTCAACAAGTTCTACATGATTGATTTTCTCTTCTACAGATAGATCAATAAAGGATGATCAATGGAGACACAGATGACAATGGTCTCCAAAGGAGTAGTGAGAAAAAACTGATAGAGGAGGCATGCTAATCAACCAACAGTGCTATTTTTCCATGAACCCATCCATCACACAACCTGCCCTTTCTGTATAATAGAAATGTTGAGTGGCGATAGTTCAGTAGTTTTCAGAAATGTCTCCTGCTATGAAACGCACAC